TTAAAAATAGCGGGTTACTTACGTTAAGAGCCACTCTGTGGCTCGAAACTAGTAGAGGTTTTCTCAGTATAATCACACGACTAAATCGCGATTTTTAGTTAACATTTTTAATGTCAATTTTTTGCTATAAACATCAAAGTTATTTATAGATTGCAATGGATAATTTAGTATGCCAGAAAATACTTATTTTTTTAATGTATTTAATCTAGTGATTGCATTTAAATGTTATACAAGTGTTACGCAAGTGTACATAATTTAGTTCTGAAAAGTAATTAGTACTCGATTACCGAACATTTGTAGCAGTGATAGTATGCGTTGCAAAACAACTTGAATCTCAGTATTTAAGTATTGACTAACTTGACATGTTTTTGTAAAAGAAAACCTGACTAAATAACGTTTAAAATAAACTTACGAAGCATAAAATATAATTATGGTCTCTTCTATTATTATTCAGTCATAATATAAAATGAACTCCTCCATTACTGATTGGAAGACATACAGACTCCAAACAAAACTACTAGTCTTAAATTCTTCAGGAGGATAGTTGAGTACAAATAGAAAATTTCCTGAATTTCCTAAGGCAACAGGACTAGGGAATGCAAATCTCGCGAGATCATAAAATATAACCTCGCCAGATCTCAAATATTTGAATAGATTTACTCACGTGAATATACTAAGAAAAGCTCTACTAGTTTCGAACCACAGAGGGGTTCTTCCTCATGAGCAGCGTGCACGTGCGCTAGAAGAACCCTCAGTCTCAGCATTTTCACGTGAGTAACCCGCGATTTTTAGTTAATATAGTATGTCTTTTTTTGAGGGGGCAAAATAATCGAATGCCTTCTCCCGCCTGGGTGAGGCGGAAGGTAGGTAGTGTCAGACTCTTACTGAATAAAAACCACCCCGTTCCTTCTCCTGCACTTCGAGCCGGAGCCCCGGTAACCCGTTAGGTTCTCCGCGACATTTTAGTACGTCTTACGATATTTATTATTAAAACATTTGAATAAATAAGTAAATTACAAGACAAACATTTATTTAAAAAAATTCTGCTTTAAGTCACGTGAACGAAGTTGAAAGAAGCAGTCTCGTCAATCTCGCGACAACTCGTTCATTTTTCGACCGAGATTGATTTCGCTAAAAATAGACGAGATCTCGATCTCTAGATTGCATTTTCGACAAATTAGTAAAGATAGTTTAAAAAGCTTCTTCATATCTACAATACTATTTATTCTTTCAAAGAAAAAAATAGACTAATTACGTTCTCCCATTAAATCCGTGTAATACCGGTCGAATCTCACCGTTCTGTACTTAATTGCAACTTGTTTTATCTTAACACTGAAGTTTGAGATAAAAATCTTGACACTCATATTAATGTCGTTATATATAAACTAGAACAAGCTTTTGAATTATATCTTTAGTATGTCATATGGTTTACAAGATATATTTTTATCTGATAACTGATATTTAATGTTTGGCTGTATTTGTTTTAATTGTTTTTAGAGAGGCCTTTTGGGACATAAATTTGATGTTAATAACTAAAAAAGAACTTGTTTATATATGTTTGCGCTGATCTCGAAAATGAATATACTTTGTATAATGTAGTTCAAAGCAAATTTTTTTTTCAAAGCACCATTAAAATTTGTTTCCTTATAAGTAAAACATTAACACTGCCTCGATGGCCGAGTGGTCGTAAGTGCGACTACCGGGCAAGGGGTCTCGGGTTCGATTCCCGGATCAGGCAAAGTATAACAGGGTTTTTAAAAAAAATCTCAGTGGTAGCATGGAATCTGGAAATGTGCCCGGTATATGGTAATAGGCTCACCTTCTATTACACGGGACTCATAACATAAATAGTAAAAAGTAGGTGTTACTTCTGTGTGCACCTCCGCTTACCATGAGCATTATTTTGACTTGTTTATGAGTAAAACATTTCCCAGCATTAAAGTTTAAAGGTTACCTTAATGTGACTCACGAACACTAATGCATTATTTAGTAGAACACATCAACTCAGACGGACATAGCAAGTTAGCGTCGGTTAAAGCACTATTTTCTAAGAAACGCATCTATGTTTTACAATTGTAAATAACTAGTACAAAACATGTGTTATTCTTCGAAAATGTAGTAAAATTTGCAAATAGCAAGAAGTTATTCACGGATTACTCACGTGAATATATTTATTTATTTATTTATTGGTGAATCAACAGCATCATTACATACATTTAGCAGAAGAATAGTAACATTGAGCCACTTACAGATTCACACGAATACTGACTTAATAGGTAACAGCTAAGACAAAATAAAAATTATAAATACACTAATATACTGAGAAAAGCTCTACTAGTTTCGAACCACAGAGGGGTTCTTCCTCATGAGCAGTGTGCGTGGTCGCGGCTACGTCGCGAGTAGAGTAGAGTAGAACTTTTCTCAGTATTCTCACGTGAGTAACCCGCGATTTTAGTTAATTTAGTATGTCTCACGATAGTTATTATATAAACAAATTATTCACGTCTAATTTCTCTAGGTTTCTTATTTGAGGGCTCATTAGTCTTTGGTCCCAAAAATTGAGTATCATTTAAAGGTTTTCCTCATTACCACAAAACGGCTCTGATTATACGCAGATAATAAACTCCGACATATTTAAACCTATTGAGAATTTTAAAAATTACCCGTAGCATCACGCCTTTTTAACCCCGAATTATTTTTTCAGCACTTCGGCACTTAATGCCACTGTACAATGTTGTTACATTATACAGTGGCATTAAGTAAAGACACCCACTTTTCACTACTTTTGTTATGAGTCCCATGTAATAGGGGGTGAGCCTATTGTCATATACCGGGCATATTTCCAGACTCCGTGCTATTACTGAGATTTTTAAAAACCCAGTACTACTTTGCCCGACCCGGGAATCAAACCCGAGCCCCCTTGCCCGGCAGTCGCACTTGCGACCACTCAGCCAACGAGGCAGTCGGTCAGTTTTAAAAATAACTCAACTCATTACTTATGTTTTATAATAAACTGTACCGAGCCTTATACTAAGCATCATCGATCAGTAAACAAATGATTGATTTCTATATAACATTGAAGCCAGTTTTATTTACATGACGTTAATAAAAAATAAACAAAATGGGAATGCACTATCTCTCCGTAGCGGCGTATGAAAGTTGTCGTGGAAAACCGATACAAACTAGATTTCCATCACTGCAGTGGAAAGCTAGTCCTTTAGAGTTGAAATTGTACTTATACTAAAAGTATATCTTGTTTAATAAGTATGTATATGTAACAGTGTATGTTATAACATAAACATCATGTTTAAAACAATTACTTACAAGTTACATACGCTATCTCACGAAATAATTCAATACACTGTATTCAATTCGATTCAATACACCAGTCAAAAAAAATAAAAAACAGTCATTCATCTCTTCATCCGAATCATTTCAAATTAAATACCAACTTGTACCGAAAAATTTTAAAGCCTTATCTACAAACAAAATAGCGTAAACCTATCTCACAGTTCCACAAACATGAGCATAAAGTACCTTAATTATTTGTTAACTAAAGTGAAGTTATTTAATAATCTTTGTTGGAAATGTCCGTCTGTCTGTCTCCAGCTTTTGTCTCTATGCAGAGCTCGGAACGTTCAACACAAAAGCATTCGTTTACACTGCGCTGTGGTTCGTTCCATTTAATGAGGAAGTGCTCTAGAAAAACTACGCTACAATTATTATTACGAAATGCTACCGTTCCGCTGCTGTATGTAATTTGTACCGCTTACAGAGTTACACTCAAGCAATCTCCCCCATACGAGATTTGTGTTACGATCGGAGTCATTTTTTTGCGTTTTAGCAAAATGGCATGATTAGACTTGCCTACAAATGTCATAATATAAACCCCTATTACACGGGACTAATAACATAAATAGTGAAAAGTGAGTGTTACCTCTGCCTACACCTTCGGGGATAAAAGGCGTGATGTTATGTTATGTCATAATACAATGTTGACAACGGTCATAGACAGAAACGAGCACTTTCCAAGTAAACTACGGCAATTAAACGACTGCTATCAATTACAATGTATTCCATTCATATAACCATCTTTCGCTGCTCAGAGTGTTAAAAAAATAAGTTTCTACATACCTTATTAACTTTCGACAAAGAAAGTAAAACTATGTCAGGTACAGAATAAACTCATGTTGTAGATGAAACGATTCAAACACACGCCATGTAAGCGTCCCACAGCTTTGCTTTCCTTCTATATTCCCTTCCCATGAATAAAGCAATGGGAACGAGCAAACATGGCCGACACATATTCACATGTCGTGCAGCCTCCCTGCGACCACAGAGTATTGAACAAAAGAAGGCTTAATGTTTCAATGAAATGGCCGTCTATCTAATATCTAATCGGACAGTTGGACATAAACATGTAAATCATTCTCGTTTCGTTGCGTATAGAAAAACAAATCCCAAAACTGCTTACACATTTCCTTATTTGTCATGAGTTATGCAAGAATGTCTCTTTCATGGTCTCTTAATAATCATAGAGTACTCATTTACACGGTTTATTCAATTATGACTGTCTTATTGGCCGAGTGGACGCAAGTTTGACTGTTGGACAAGGGTATTGGGTTCGATTCCCGGGTCGGGCAAGTAATAATGGATTTTAAAAAAAATCGCAGTAGTAGCACGGAGTCTGGAATTGTGCCCGGTATACGGCAATAGGCTCACCCCCTATTACATGGGACTCATAACATAAATAGTGAAAAGTGGATGTTACATTGTACATTATAATGTGCACATCTGTCTACCCCTTAGGGGATAAAAGGCATGAAGTTATGTATGTTATTCAATTATTTATGTCCTGATATCTGAAACCATTCACTCCATTTACTGACTTTTCCATGGTCACGACCATCCTTCGCTTCTGCCAGTTGTCGTGGTCGTAGCTTTGCATGTGTAAAGTCATTTCATCTCCATTATATGCAATACAGTGACCCAGTTCTCACCTACTCATCACGAACATCTGGCGCATTTTCTAATCACAATAATTGCCAAATGGTAATGGCCAGAATATTGAAACTAAATACTTAATTGTAAGATGATGATAGATAAACGATACTCATTTTTTGTGGAAGGCAAAGCCTTCGTATTATTAATTTTTTTACACATATAAGTACCGTACGTTTTTAACGTTATCTATAAATCTATCAGTCAATGCATGGGCGCAAATTACACAAAGCTACAAGCCTCATTCTGTCTTTCAATCCTCGCTACGCAAGTGTTATGAAATTGTTTTATTTGTAAGACCACCCATTATCCGTTCACTCTCGCTTGCATCATGTCAGCGATGCGCACACTTCATTATGAATATCTTAATTACAAAATTAAATCATATTATGTTGTGTTGCGTCAGCGATGGCCGGCGACTGTTCAGACCGAAGCATGCGGGTTATAGCCGATAAACAATATTAATTGCGTGCGGTGCGACTTGTGCGCGGTCGACTGGTAAATTGAGCTCACTTCAGCATCGATATCCCACGCTCTGACGATCTTACACCTTACAAAACACAACAGAAGTCCTACTTTACACTTTATTACGTTTTCAAGCGTGTAATCACATTCGCACATGTTTCGAAACATCAATTTCCGCACATTTTTTTAACACGATTTAACAAAATCACTTCTTTAAGAACCAGTCTACCATACTAGTAACTGAATTTCAGCTGGGAAAGCGAAGTTTCAAGACTAACTTCAAAGAACTTACCTTTAACTTTCCGTGTCCAAAGTTAGACTCACAATGGGCTTAGCAGTTAGACTCAGAAACTCCTACTTGATACAGAGAATTAAAATGAAATCTTTTGCAAAATTTACGTACCGTACTGTCGCAGGTCGTATGATAAATTCGTGCTTCATTGTGACGGACTTAGTAGAGTGTGGCGATATGAAAAATATTTATGTCTAAAACTGGATTATCTTTGATTGAATGCGTATCTGATATTGGGCTGCGATCGAATTTGTGTCTAAAATCTTCAATATTATTTAAGTTTGGACAAAAAATGCTGGAGTCCTAATTGTATTTTCTCGGAAAGCTGTTTTTTTCTGTGTTTCTATACCTACTTACTTCTGTGCAAATAACGTCGGTGATCTGCATAAATAGATTAATCATATCACAAACATATTTTAACCATGAGAAGTATTCTGATGCCGTTTATTAAATTGCAGTAGTTAATTTATTATGTTTTCGGCTTACTCACGTAATAATTTGACGAGGAACTCGACTAGTAGACTAGACCAGTAGCAGCGCGACAGTCGCCACGTCGCGGGTCGCGAAATGCTGCTCATGAATATGAGCCTCTAGTATGGCTTGAAACTAGTCGAATTCCTTGTCAAATTATTACGTGAGTAAGCCGAAAACATAATAATTTGTTTAGTATGTCTCACGAAAGTTACAATACAAATATAATTGCAGTAGTGTCTAGTTTTATTATGATCGCATGTTTGGGACAAGGTCTATGTGAAAGTATGACTTCTGTAGCATTATTTGCATGCAGTATGGTGCATTAGTTTCCAAATGACATTGAAATGGTCGGTGCAGCAAACAGGTTGCGTGCATTAACAACTTTTTATACTCAGTACTTTTAACCTAGGTATGTAATTATTTCTATCATGGAAATACCTATATGAATAATATTTCCTCTCGCTGATTGATATTTATTATAATGTACGGCTACATTGCGACCTATGGAGATAGGTTTAACCTTGAAATTTTGTAAAGGAGTTTAAAGAAATTACTTTTTTGTAGAAGACATAATTATATAGGTTTTGCGAATGTTACATGGACAGAATTTTTTAATATTTATCCCACGTTAGTATCTGTTCAGTGCTGATGAAATATTTTGAAGTTCTCACTCCTAAATTGTGGCAATGAACTCGCCCAAAGAGTGAGTGAATGAATATTTGAAACGTTCACAGTATCGTACAATATTGAATGACAGATAGGCGTGTGAGTATCAATTTATTCCAATCAATTCAATTTTAGGTTGATGGCATTGAACTTCCCTGTCGTGTAACATGAGTATTGAGGTTAGGAATGGTAAATAATTGCATTAAACATTGACGTCATATTGGGTGCAGGTAGAATTAAGCTTTAAATCGTCGAGTAGCGTATTTATAGACACAATTAAAGAACAATAGGTTGCGGTCACCGGTGACCGCTTGGTGTTTGACAGTTTAATATCTTATACTTATTATAAGATGCTAAAGAGTTTATTTGTTCGTTTGATTGTTTGCTTGTTCGAACGCGCTAATCTCAGGAACTACTGAGCCGATTTCAAAAAATCTTTTTGTTTCAAGATAGTCCATTTATTAAGGGGAGCTATAGAATATCACGCTACGATCAATAGGCGCCGAGAGGAGCGGGAGAAACCGCGTGGAAGTAGTTATTATTTTTACCACCATGTCATCATTATCATCGTCAGTCACAACAAGTCCAACCTCTGACGACTGCTGAACATATGCCATCCCCAGTAACTTCCAAAGAAAGATAAATATCTTCATAATTTTTTACATAGCCATTAATTCTTTCTAGTCATAATTTTTTTTAGTTTACACAATACGTTTTCGCATCTAAAGATTGCCAAAAACTAAATAATATCCTTTTCGTTTATTTCTAATACCTTCACCTCAATACAAAAACAAGAAGGACCTTTAAATATACAAGACAAAACAGCCTCAACAAGATAAGTAGAGAGGATTACATTCGAAAACTTTTTCTATCTACGAATTATCGAGAGAGTCCCGAGTTCACTCACACATGAGTGAGTATCTACTACATACGTATATCGGATAAACTCACCGTGGGATGAACGGATATTAAGCCCACTACGCAACCCGCTTGATGATCGTGAGAATGAATCGAGAATAACTGCGAAGCCTTTTTAAATCGCCCGAGGTCAAGGTACAGAGAAATGAACCATTTGTTTTTATAACTTTTTAAATTTACATGTAAACATAATACCGCAATGTCAACCTTGACTTTGAGAATATATGCGGTGGAGAAAGTTTAGAAATTCCACCCGACACGCGAAATGCTGTTTTTGTTGCAAATATAAATATTCCACACTGCGCTGTCTAAAGAATTTATGTGGAAATAAATGCAGCGTAACCTATCGCTCTATTGTTGTTGAAACAGAATTTTTATATAAAAAGTTAAGTTTATGCTTAGCTAGATCGATAGAACAAGAATTAATTCGGTACATAGGCAGCTAAATTGTTTGTAAATCTGTTTTTTACCGAAAACGAGTATTTAAGCAAACGTGTTTTCTTGGCCCACATTACATTAATTCTTGTAACCCAAGGAAGTATAACAGACAGTTTAGCGATGCGCCCAATAAATGGTAAAAAGTGGCCCACTGACCGTATGCTAACGGTAAAAGAAACTACGCCTGTTTTCACTATCGCTTTTGTGGTCAATCTTGCTTACCAATGCGAGAACCTGTTCATTTGTTGTCTAGAATGCAGGTGTCGGATGCCAGATTATGCCACTTGGCTGAACAGACCGACCAGCTACATACAAATTATTTCTGAACTCCCGTCGCTCTGCTTCAACCTACATTCAAGGCAGATAAAGGAAGCTGTGTGGTTTATTTATACACTGCATTACCCATATTTCTATGAAATATGTTCCGCATATTCTAAAGCAACATAAACCGCGCCTTTTGCAACGTACAAGGAATAAAATAAAACTCCATATTTCTAAACTCTAGTCATCTTTTTCTTATTTTTACGTAACGTTACTGCTTTGTAATTCTTGCCAATTCAAAGTGGATTGTGTTGATATAACAAAGAGCAAAAAATGTACACTTCATTTGCTTATTGCATTGGATATGAAAATAGGTCTGATATTTCTATTTGTAGCATTATTCATTCTATAAAGAGCCAACGGTAATTTAATATTATTTAAAGCTTCCTAGGGGCCTGGGCCCATTTGTCCGTTGCGCTGCGATGCGACGTCGCGTCGCAGCGTCAGCGTCATAGATATAATAAAGAAGTTAAGAATAAAGACGACTTTTTTTAAATGTCAGCGTTGTTTCCATATGTTTTTATGATAAGCTCCATTAGTCGGTTGCATCGTCGTTTGTATCTATTCAGTACGATTGTTATATACAGTATTGATTGTTTAATTTGTTTTTTATTGTTTTTCTTCTATTTTATTTTATTGTGCATCTACAACCCATTCCCATATTCTTTTCAAAAATTCCATCCAAAGGTTGTCTGGAAGAAATCGCCGCGTGTGATAAGACCGCCCATTGTACTCAAATTACTATTGTAATGTTGACAATTTTTTTCTGTGTGTGCAATAAAGTATAAATAAATAAGGATGAACTGAGACGCAGCTGTGACGCTGTGCGTCGTCGCAACCCTGGTGGAGCGTTGTTCAGTTGCAATGACGCGACGCAATGCAGCGCAATGCACTAATGGAGCCTCGCTCACCAACACATATTTAAAGCACCCTATCCGTTGTTAACCCACCTAACAATAAATTTACTAAACCACACAAAACACCTAATCATCACATCAGTACAAAACAAACAATTCAAGCTACATATTCAATATGAATCCTAATATTCCGGTAAAACTAAACAGAATCGGCTGCTTTTGATTAGCTCTCACTAATACCTGGATGTATGAAAAGCCAGTCAAACGACTAATTAACTATTCAGAGACACGTGTTCGGATGAAAAGGGTGAACTGTACGTGTGTTTTATACATGTACCCATATCAACATCAAGGTCTGTAAAACCAGTATAAAGTGAACGGCGAATGTATGGAAGTATCCTACAAAGCGAGACCAAGATAAGCTGGTTTTGTATAACTTGATGTTAAGCTGTGTATCTATAATATGTTCAAAGAACTGCTAACTGCGAAGTTTAGTTCGAACCATTATTTAATGTTAGTTTAATACCGTTGCGAGTGTCTGAAAGTTAATTTAGAATTTTCAAAATCATCCAATGACTTCTCCCGCCCGGGTGA